GCTGGGACCAAGACCAGCCTATTTGTCATCAGACAGGTCTGACCCTAGTCTCCATATTTCTTAGTAAAGCACTTGATATCACTGCCATTTATTTCCCCAATTCAGTGCAGGATTGTTTAATGTTCAAACATAAACAGCATTGGAAATTGCTGCATTGCTTTCATTTCAATTTATGGGCTGTGTTCCATGACTTGAATGTTATGGATCAAAAAGAAATCAGCTTCAAATAAGATACATGTAATAAGGATCTGAGGTTCTGGGAATTGCATTATAAACCCTATATTTTCTGTTGAACATCCATTACTTTGGAGAATTAGTTACAAGGAATTTTGAAGAAAACGTTACATCAAATTTTGCTTGTTTTACAATTATTTCATGATGACAGGGCACCTCAACCACACAAAGTGTTACAGCAAGTTTTGTCACTGTTACCTGAACAGCAGCTGAACATCTACAAGGAGCTCAAATCAAACTTGCTAAGAAGAGGGATCCTATAAACAAATTCAAGATTTTGAGTGTGGGGCATTGGGAGATGATAGTCATTCCAGGATTATAGAATGGAAAGATCAGGGTGGAGGCTCATTAAATGGGAATCTGGTCTGAGCTTTCCTAAGATGTCAAGGCCTTACCATGAAAAAGTTCTTGGGTTTTGAATCTCAACTCTTTACAGTGCGACTGCACTAACCGAGGCTATGCAACAAAATTTTCCACAAATTTAACAAATAAAAATTGTGAAGGTTAACAACAGTTTCCAACAAATTATCCATGTAGTCGAGCTGTACATTACGAAGGCAACAGATTTGATAAATTTGTAGATAATTTTGTCAGGTTGCCTTGGTTAGAGTAGTTGCACTGTAAGCCAAACCAGTGACCAATACTTAAATTCTCCTGATAAAGTTAATATATAATCAAGCATACAAGTCATGAGAATTTCAGAAATGATCACCAAAGATGAATTGTCTTCAGCTGATATTGAAGTAGATTTTTCCGAGTAGTATCATAAGAAATGTATTAAGACTAGTGTGGAGAATATATATATTGATATCCAGGAGAAAAGGTTTGTGGTACAGTGTACTATGTAGTTTTAGTGAGATTCTTAACATTCCAGTACTGTACATATATGTTTTATTATTAATAATCCTAACCTTAAACATTCCTTGTTGATTCTAGTTAACAATTAAATTGTGAGATTGAGATTTATATCGCAACAGTTGATGAGGGTGTATCTCAAGTCAAATATTACGAATAGGAATTAAAAGCAAATAATCCAATAATTTATTGTTTTAGTATAAATTTACTAGTTGTTCAAACTTTTATCTAAATCCTCTTCACAAACACTTGGAAAGTGCAAAGGAGCTGTCATTTTGTTAACAACCACACACTACAAGGCTAGACTCCAACTCCAACAGAATAGATAGTGTGTAGCATAGCCAATTAAAGGATGGCATTCATGGTGGAATGCTAGTACGTTGTAGATTTATACAGAAACAAAATAGTTCCATTGACTAACATGCTAAGGATTTTTGCTTTTTGTTATTCTTTTCGTTTTTTGCTAGCACAGATAGAAACAATTTGCTTACAAATAGATCAATGGAAATTATTAACAAAAGTTTGATTTTGTTCAACTTACAGCACTTCATAAATGAGAGAGCCCATTTATGGAAAGAAGTTCCTTTGATCTTTGAGTGTAGTTCTGTATGGTTAGTCTAAACTGTAAGAAGAGTTGAAGGACACATTCATTTGAGCAGTAAGGCAAACTTTTTTTAGACTCGCAATATACGTTTGCCATAAATTTGTATACACTTATCATGCTTGCAAGAAAATAATCTGGATCTGTGGTACAAGGGGAGGTTCACCAACCACTGGTAATAGCATCTCAACAACTTTTGCTCACCACAATTTATTAAACAGCAGACAGGTGACAAGAACAGAATGAACTAGAAGATAATTATCTCCTAGTTGATTTGATCTTTATTCTTTCTCATTTCATTTGAGTGTTAACATGACTTGCATTTGATTTGGTTTTGCATTATTACGCTAAGCCATACTCGTGCCATTTGGTCACCCAGTAAAACCAAAATCAGTGATTGCAACTGACTCAGGGTTTTTTCCTAATGATTTAGATGGCAAAAGGGACACTATCTTTACAAGTGTAAAGGTTAGCTTAAGTGATGAATGTTACTTCTCATTACCTGTTTTCTTGATGTTGTGGAGTTTAACCTCTGTTAGGGGACACCTCTCTCAGCTGGACAATTCATCTAAGCAGAAAGTCAGTTGTGGTGTTAGCCATGCACTTCCATCCCTCATTTTTAGTCTTATATCATCATCACCACGATCACCATCACCGTCACTGTCATCATCATCAACACCATTACCATCATGGTCATTATTGCACCTTTGGATATATAAGGCCTGAAACTGCAGGTTCAACTGCATTAATGTTGAAAGGATAAACTTGATGCTCATTATTCTTTTTGCCAGTTTGGCTGATCGTTATTTTATTCTTGTGGATATTTCCTTTTCATACTGTTGCCTGTTAAGATCTTAAGTGTGGTATCAATATAGTATTCTATCAAATTCCCAATCATTGTCGGGAGAATTTGGGGATTACAGTATGACAGTGTTTTATCCCCTCATGCCACATGATCACTTGATTCATTTTGTATATTTATTTATATTTATTTTTTCTCTTGGAATGGTAATGCAGCATGCAGCATAAATCTTTGTCAATAAATATTGTTACAATTTAATAATCCAGCTCTTAATTTGTACAAAGTATTTTCAATGACGTTTTATGTAGCAGCATTCATTCGCCAGCATTGTTATACATGTATATAACATGCCTTATGTGCAACATAGTGCTAGTTGATTAAGCTTTTATTTAATTAATTAATTTAGATAATATTGAGGCCTAGGACATTGTAAGATCTGTAATCCAACTTTATAAACATTCCTTTGCCAATGATTATCATCTTTTTCAAGCTAATGTCACGACTTGTCTAGGTGTGACATTTGATAACATGACATAACCTGCTTAAAATTATCAACACCATGTTTCGTGACATCAGGCACTTATGACCTATTATTTTACTTTAGGTGTAAATTAGAAATATTCTGGTAAATATCTAGGTTTTCCTAATTTTTAATTATTTTAGCAACATTATTGTTCAACGTAATGTCAAATGAGGTCATTTATGTTTGGTAGTAGTTATTGTGTAAGGTATAATTAATGGAAAATATTAATGGAGTTTTTAGTGCAAGATGTAATGTAATTTTACTACAAGCCTGGCAGCTTTCACTTATTAAACAACTGTTATTAAATTCCTATATCACAAGTAAACTTACAATACTTGTAAAGCACTTGATAAAACTACTTGCAAGGGGCTTGACACTGTCCCTTGAGAGAAGCCTCCTATACAGAGTAAAATGGTGTGTGTTGGCGGTGGGTAAGGAGACTATTAATTCTAGTAAGGTCTTGCCACCAAACATTTCAAAGAAATTGACAATTTGGAAATATTGCCCATTTGAAAATTGCAGTGGCTAGCTGGGTCAATTTGAGTATGATTCTGCAGAAGTGTTATAGCCTGAATTAAGAGAAAGCTAATACTGGCTAATATAGCAATAGACTGCTAGGCAGCCAGGGAAAGGGCCAATTTTCAATAGACCAAATTCGTATTCTCGGTATTGGACTGGAACTAGCTTGCAATGGAGGCTCATGCTGGGGAATACCATTAAAAAGAGAAAAATGTCATTTGCATTTGAAAAGACTTCCCACATTAGCCTCAGCTGCAAGCTAGTTCCAGTCCAAAACCGGGAATACAAATATCACCTATTTGCCTGGGGTTTCTTGATTTGGCAACTTGCTGTTTCCCACTTGGTCAATAGGGCAGAGGGCTAGTGAAGAAAGGCTCAGCAGGTCATTGGCTGGAAGTACTCCTACTCCAGAATATAAATATATATGCTTGGAGTAGAAAAAGGGCTTAAAAAATAACATATAGGAGAAACTTTCATTTATTATTGTTTTAAAGAACAGCTGATATCTTAGCCAACAATAACATCACAGATGCTGACTTTGTATGCTCATTCTTGGCCTTGGTGTATGAATAAATGAACAATTTTTCTTGTCACAAGGTCTGAAAAATTTTGTAAACGAAGCTTTCGACT